GTGCAGCATAAAACTGAATTATAGATCACCAGCAACTGAAGACCATGATATTTGGATTAGCTACAGATTACTGAGACTGTAACATGAGTATCACTACATGGAATCAGTACCATTTGGTGATGATACACGCCCGGGGTACATTGAACAGGATACAAGTACAATGTACACGTGCCAGCCATGTTCTGCCGCCACTTCTAATTAAGGGTCACATAAGCCGCTCACTACATTCGTATTAACGCGTAACCATATAATTCAAATCATACTATGCACTTTGATCCACATTAAAATCGATTTCGACCGAATTATGTTTATTATGGAAACAACACGTTTATATTTTGAACATTAAAAAAAATGGACTCTTACAAGTCAAATGAATTGTCAAGAGGTTGAGTGTTTGTATGTTTTGAACGCATCGATCTCTGTTGAAGACCTGCCTAGCAAACAAACAATACTATATTCGAAATGTAAACATTAGTGAATAGTACTTGATAACCGCGGTGACGTTAAGTACGTGCAGCTTTCTTTGAAGCGCGTGTATTTTTAATCTGACTGAATACGTCCACAGAATTCAGTACTGATAGGTCGGATGTTTAAAACAAAATGAGTTGTTTGGAAATAACAGAAACGTTTGAGGCGGTAAGAATTGTTAGTACAATTTCTCGCGTTCTCTTGACTTGTGGCAGCGACTGAGAAGAAGGTAAACAAACGTTATTAATGATAAACTCTCCCTATATATCTTAGATAACACCGGTCAAAATAATGAAATCTTTGTAGATCAACCGATATCAATGATTTCAAATTTTGCAGTTATTCTGTATAAAGTGAGAGTATGACAGTTAGACAGAGAGGGGGGGGGAGGGAGAGAGAGAGGGGTGGTGGAGATTGAGCTTATTTTTAGCCTTATATGTCATGATCAAACGCCTTATGTTTTGCCCCTCGCCGGTCTCTAAGTGTGTAATAGAAACATTAAGGTAGTCTTGACGTGCTCAGTAGGACATGCTGCGCCATAATGCAAATTACGCAACAGCTAGTGACAGTTGAACCTTCCATCTACTATCTAAAATGTTTAGCAATATTTAAACATTACGAATGGAAAAAGAATTTCATGAGGATTTTAGAACATAAACCTTATTCAAAACTACTAATTTAATGACTTCCCCATATACATTAGTGCATCCACACGGATGTGACCTACTGAAATAAAATACATGTGCTGTAGATAAAGTTCAGTAAAGATGGAAGCCGATAATGTCATGGAAGGCAATAATTACACAATGATTATTCTTTGATAGACATACCAGTCTGAGTAAACTTAGGCTCAGTATATTCGTTATACTACTATACTCAGTCTAACAAAGGTCGCGTCAGCAGTGTAACGAATAATACTGAGCCTAAGTTTACTTAGACTGATAGACAAACATACTTTATTCAGTATCGTAAGGACGCAGGTCTATAATACATACAATATAACTGTTGACTTGGATGCTTTGCACCACCTCACTTTTGAAAAATGCTTAACATTCTTATTGAAAAATATACATATATGTTTCTAATATACTGGAAGATCGGCTGAAATATCTTTCCACATTTAACTTTGTTTGTAATATTCACCATACAACTTACAATTTGAAGGCAATCTAAAGACAATCACACAGTCTTTGTTGGAAAAACAAAACAAAAGAAGACATTTATATATCCAACATCTTGGGAAAGCCATGCAACGACAAATCCATACTGATATAATACAATATTTCTAATACATGTTGCCTAAGTACATTGTAGTCCTCCTAACATATCCAGACATTTTAACGATATATATAACTGAAAAACCCTTTAAATAAATATACAGGTCCTACCAGTTTTATCAGACATATCAGATAACTACGGGTTTCAGGATTACTCTTTTAAAACTTGTTAATCCATTCTCCGTTGTTTGTTTTAAGGATGTTTTATTCACAGAGAAAAGGATCAGAAAAAGTTCACCAACTCAGAATACCCTCTCCTTGGTGTGTACATAGGTAATTTAGATTCCCGCAAATAAAGATGACAGATAATGGACAAGAAAGTAGTATAAGTAAAAAAGAGATAGAGCTTATACAGAAAAATATCAATATGCTTTACAATTTGTCTTGTCTCACTAATGAACGATTGCACTAACTTGAATCCATTTGTATTTTCACATGCCTTCTAACAAAAGTTTAAGGTCAACTGAAATACCTGCTGATGAACAAATGCGATTAGCAGATAACATGAAGTTAACTCTCTGTTGTTTGTACAATGGACATTCAAACAGATAATGAAACGGGTCCTTACTAAAATCATATATACAAATGGGATCAGTTTTCTGTAAAATTAAAGTTCAAACAACTAACAGAATAACACAACTTGGTATGAATAATATTTAAGTTTCTTTTTCCACACGAATAATACTGAGGTGCACATGCATGGTTATCAGTTATATATGATTTAAAAGTTGAAACACTTTTTGAATTACGAACGGTGGTTGGTAAATTGTTCCAAGAGCATATTGTGGATGGAAAGAAGGATTCTTTTGAATGTTAAAGTCTTTGAATAGGAATCGGTATATTTAGAGAACTGCGTAGATTATAGTTTGATTTAGAACCGACATTCTAGGGAAGCTTGTGCAAAAAAACAATACTGTACCTTGGTCCAAAAAGATGGTCCAAGAAAACAGCAGGAGCTCGAGGAAAACCCCTTTATATAAATATACAGGCTCTACCAGTTTTATCAGACAAATCAGATAACTACGGGTGGCAGGATTACTCTTTAAGAACTTGTTAATTCATTCTCCGTTCGGATACAAGCTAACAGATTGAATATACTGACACAACAAAGTTACGATAGATTACCACTAATAGCCATGTTAATTAGAATCTGGAACAAAACAATATCAGTAGCATTTTAAAACCAGGGCATGTACAATTAAACCTTCCTTTGGTTTGGACATATATTTATGTATCATCGCAGAAGACCTGGTCTATAGTAGAATAATTTGACCTGAAGCCAGCCTGAGTTTCAGCTAAAATATAGTTCTGATCACGCCTGTGTTCTTCAGGGCAACACAGTACCTTACACAAAGAGTCCATGAGGTGTATTCCTCTGTAGTTATCAGGGTCACGGACACTGCCAGTCTTGTGAAATGGACAGATTATTACCGTTTCCCCACTGTTTCGGAGATGTTCCTATTTCAAACAATTTATTAAACAATATAGTTAAAGTAGGAGATCTTAGTTGCTCTAATGGATGACCTTTCAATTCCGTCAGATCCATGTGAATTATTCAGTTTTGGTGTTTTTAATCCTGAATAAATTTCATAATCTGAAACAGGTATATGTTTAGTTCATTTATTTTACTGTCTCATGCCATATTTCCAGTACCCTACATGTCATGAAAACACCAGTCAAGGACAGCTTATTTCCAAAATGTGTGTAACACGGTTCCTGTGTGGTAGAGTTTCAGATAATGTCTTAGTTTGTTACTTCCTCGCCTTAGAACTTTCTGGAATGAACCGGGGTAATATCTTGCATTTAAAAACACATCAAATTCTGAAATTAAATAATGCATATGTCAGTTCATTAAAGGTAGTGATTCACCTTCACCTAGATTTCGTATGCTTTGGAGCACGTATTTGTGATATTAACAGCACACACTGAATGTTCAGCTTTAACTTGTTTGGAAAAATTGTTTTCAACGGTAAATAACACTTACTTCCTGAAACTCAACAACGTCTACGGGCCTATGAGTGTGTTGCTGCCAACAGGAATGGCGTAAATCGGACTTTCAAGACATTGTAATGTTCATCGAAATACAATAGTATCTGTTTGGAGCCATTGTCTACACAAGAGCAATACACGTTTGGGGGGCGGTGGGGTAGCCTAGAGGTTAATGCGTTGGCTCGTCACGCCGAAGACCCGGGTTCGAATCCCCACATGGGTACAATGTGTGAAGCCCATTTCTGGTGTCCCCCGCCGTGATGTTGCTGGAATATTGCTAAAAGCGGCGTAAAACCAAACTCAGTCAGTCAGTCAGTCATCCACGTTTGGCGTTACGTCAACAGAACAACTATATTCGGTTGGTACATCTATTGAATCGATACCAGGCTGGCAACTTATCAACAGACAATTCCTGGGATTAGGACAATCGGTGGTAGAACCGTTCATGAAGAGTTGACGGCCCCAGCGTTACGCAAGAGCACGTGTCTACGTCACGTCTGACAAGTCTATCTGTGTTGACAGGTACTTACTTGGCATATACTCCTGGCGTTTCCTAGTGTTTAATTCATACAAGTGCGTAAATACTTAATAACAGGCTTTAGTCAATGCAACATTACCTTGTGATAGAACGAATAGCAACATTTAGGACACTTAAATACTCCTACACTTATGAAAGTAAGTTACTTGGCCTTGATTGGAGCTGAAGTAGACTTTTAGTCAAAGTAGGCTAAAAATTGAATCAAGCAACTTAACTGCTGGTTTGATAATTGGCAATTAGTCATAATCTATGTAGACAATATTTGAAGAGAAATTGTCTTCAAACAGTAAAGATTGCCCACGGGGAAAGACAATATCATTAAAAGTACACGTTATTGAATTCTGACAACGATTAGACTGGACAAAGTTCTACGTGTGCACAATGGAATAATTTAGATAGTTTCATTACGAATTAATTGGTGAGAGTGTGGTAAATTAATATTGTGATCACAAAGGTATTGCCAAAAGTTGCCGAGGTCATAATGTTATGATAGTCATTTGGTATCGGTGACAGAGGATCCGAGACAACCTTAAGCTGTATGTTCAGAACTTTTGAACTTTAAAACCCGATTCAATAAATACGTGTTATTTGCTACTTACATGAATCAGAAGTGGGAGCGAATGCGTTCAACTGACGCAGAAACTGCTTGTTTAAAATCGAAAGTTTGTTTCTTTTAATCAATACCACACGCGGAGCAGACATTACACGTTTAACATGGCTAGCGTTAAGATGGTGTTCGATCTGGTTCTAATGAATACCCTCCCAACAAATTATGCGACGGTTGTGAATGTGGACGGTGTACGTGACTGTACCCACGCGTGTGTACGTATGTCCACGTGTGGGGCCATAGCGTTCACCCATAACCTTACGTGTTATTTATACGACGGAAGTATTGTGGCAGACCCCTCGGCTACACCTGATATGGAGTTACTGATATACAACTTTCAAAGGAATCAAAATTGCAATGGAACTATTCCATTTATTCCTGGACACGGTGAGTTTACGTTGCAATTCTCAGAATATTTATTTTTGAAAGGTTGCACTAAAAGGTTATTTGTCTTCTTTGATTGGCATTCTAGAAGTTGGGGATGTATACAGAATACAGAAGTTGTATATCCATAAAATTGTCCTCACCCTTAAATGTATTTACGCTAAACGTATAATTATTTAGAGGGGATGGGGAGACAGAGAAGGAAATTATTCGCAAAGCAATACATGTATTTACACTTGTATTTCTTGGCATGGAAGCCGATGACGTCCACTGAGTTAAAGTTTAACGTCATGCACATCGACACTATTTCAGACGAGAACAATTTATACGTTAAACATAAATAAATTTCAACATTAAAAACTTGTCTCCAAAGGGGAGTAAAAGTACCAGAATATCACAGATTTGGTTTAAAACCTGCATGTTGTCATTAAAGGCCATCACTATAGAGATCAATGGAATATAGAAACGGGCTATGGATCACCAGCACCTGAAGGTAGATAGCCATACTAAGGACAGTACTTTGGCTACCTGCGTGGAACCCACCTGGATTTACGCCGTCCTTTCCGATGTCGGCGAATATTGGGAAATATAGCCCCACATTAAATGAACACATACTCTACCATGAAAACGATGGTAGAAATAAAAATATTTTGAATGAAATGGGACATTCGTACTCTCTCGTCTGGCATAGTGCATTATGAACATTAATTGAAGTTCAAGCTAAAATAAGCCTTCAATTCAATTGCATTATTACTTCTTTTAGGTTATCGTGGTTGTCCGATTGGAAGTGGTTTCATCTATGAAGTAACTCTCCAAGTTTGTTACAAGCGCTTCTCCTCAAGCAGCCCAGCAGACCAGGACATATGTATACAAGAAGGAGGTTCTGATTTAATGAAGATTGATACTCAGGAAAAGCAGGACTTCTTCAAGCTTCTGATACCAGCTGGCGATCATAGTAATTATGACATTTTCTGTTTAGATTATCAAATAATTAACTATTAAATATTGGTATTAACTATAAAACTTTCATTTACATATTAGATACAGACATGACATATGAAAATAACCATACGTGAAAGAATACGTGCTTATAATATTTACTGTATATGTGGTGAGTGTCATGAACTATTTGGATGTGGTATTAACTTTAACTTTCAAAAACACTTTTTATATACAAGCCACAAAAAATGAAAACATCCATAAATGATGGAAGATTTGAGTTCGCTGAAATGTCTCATAGCATCGGTAATATTGGCAGCCATATCGCGATGAGAACAAGTTAGTTAGTATTAAATACATGTCCACAAAGGGCAGTAAAACAGTGAAGTGAGTATCATAATTTACGTATAAAAACACCTTAGGATTACTTTGGGTAAATGCTCTGGACCATTGGCAAACAAAGCTTCCCAGTAGTTGTGTGGAATGCTAACCTATTCTTAAATAGCGAAATATATACTATCTAGGAATAAACAAAATACAACTAATCTATATAGTTTGATTTGAATGAAGTCACGGAAAGAAAAAGTACTTATTATTGCTCTCTCTCTCTCTCTCTCTCTTTTCTTTCTTCTTTTTAATGTAGATGGGTTTTTGGTTTGTCCATTTTAGTATTTGTTGTATTATTTGTACTCTTGTTGTTATAGCGTCCACTATTTTGATATCCATCGTTTCCTACATTTCAGCCTATATCCGGGGAGACCGGAACCCCAGCACCGGAGAGTGGGCCTACTGGGAGGAAGGGATTGCAAGGCCAATGCCGCCCATTGACTGGTCACCAGGCCAGCCAAACGGGGAAACATCGGGACAGAACTGCCTCGCTATGGACAGCAATGGACTGATGGATACAACCTGTCATTACTGTGACTACATTCTGTGCGAATATTTCATGTAATGGGCTGGTCCGATGTAGAACAGACTCTATGTTTACATGACTTTCTGTCGTCACGATATGGTGGAAACATTGCCGATGTGACGTAATATTTAACTCACTCACTCTTTGTTGTAATAGCGTTGCTTGTTACAGTATCTGCCTCGTTTAAGAAGGCGTATTTCTGTGGCACCGTGTGAGAGTGTATTGCTTTACGCCGCGTTTAGCGTTATTCCAGTAATTCCAGAGGGGGGATACCACAAATCAGCTTCATTCATTTGAAAGTTACGCTAAGACATTAACGTTTACAAACACACGTAGTGATATGCGGTGCTGCTTGATGCCCATACACATTGTCATCTGAAATATATATACTGGCGGACATAAATAAGGGATCACATGAAAGCACAAGCGTTCCTTTATTTTTATCCAGGTTTCTTCACAAAAGCTTGTGAAGAAACCTGGAAACAAATAAATGAACACTTGTGCTTTCATGTGATCCCTTATTTTTTTCCCTCAGTATATATACACCGAACCTCGGGCTAAGGAAGTGGTACAGTGTTCTACAATCTGCCACAACTATCAAACTGAACACCGAGGGGCGATGAAATACAGCAGTTGAATAAGTTGACATCATGTTGAATGGACAAAAGGACATCAACATTATTGGGAAAACTTAGCTATAAACACATTAGCATTGAGTAAAATGTCGACTAGAAAATATGAGGTAAGTGAATTCAGCATGACGATTCACATTAGAGCCTTCATTGTCGTGCTGAAACTACCCACTCTCTGATTATGTTTAACCCCTCTGGTGTCCCAATTAAACATATAGTTTCACTTTGGGTGATAATGTTGGAAAGCAGGCAAATGCTGAAAACCTTTACAAGAAAGGTGTAAAGTTTGGAACAGCTTTTGGAGAAAATCCAAAATTAAGGCTGATACATAAAATGTTTTGTCTCAGCAATTTTGGCCTTATCAGCAACTTCCAATAAGCAATATACCACTGATACAGTAGGCTAATAGATGAATGTAATGATTTTACGAATTAATACTTAAGTAGTCCGATACACGGTACAATGTTAGGATCTAGATATCTATTTTTAATGTACCAGTCTTTTGGAAATCAACAATCAAGAAAACGTAAACGATCATGATATTGCAGAATATATTTGGGGTTTACATACAGATTCGTAAATGATCTGATGTAACTTTAATCAGATGAGGATATTTTGTAACTTAATATAAAAAACACACGTAATCTAAGCGTTTCTGAAACAATGGCAATCTGATTGTGAATGTAACTTGAAAATGTATTTTGTGTCTACTTGTATGAACTGAAGGATCAACCTTAGATTAGATGTTTCAAATTTGCAGTTCGAATTTCTTCATAAAAATTATCTAATCAGAGAGGGAATTAATTATAAACGAATCCGGAAGGGCATTGGTGTGTAGCCTTTGTAATCCTTTCAATGAGAACATCAGTCTTGTTGGGTCAGTTAAGTTTTGTTACATCGGCATCATGTAACTTTAACATTATATCACTTTTCAAGACAATACAATACAGAAGGAGGCTACAGATTGCCAGCACCTGAAGATTGATCACCATCCTTGGGGTCGCGGGGCTCTGTCTTGGCTTTGGGAAATGTAAATGGCTTCATAATTCTTTAACACATGATTAACTGACAAATGTCTTATTTGTTTTGGCTGTAACGATTTCCATATTTTCATCAAAGATATACTTTTATTATAAGGCATGTGGAATCAAACCGGAAATAAATATACTTTTAAAACTACTTAGAAACATTTATTATCCATATGGTGAAACATAACCAGTGTCAGATTTATCCTATGTGCACATGTGCACATATCACTTTTGCCTAGCAACCACTGTTTCCGTATATGATCGTCTGTGACGTCATTAAACAATTGAACTTGACGTCAATAAAGAGGGCTGTCACACTTGCTTACCGTGTTTTACTGCACAAATGTACATGAATAAAATGGACAATAAAGAAAGCTCGGGCAATACACAATTTCACACTCGTTTCGTATAAGTCGTATGACACACTTGCTCTTGTAATAATCTCTATATATTCCCTCCAGAAATGGATTGTTGCCAGAAGAATGACTACAGTAACTTCAATAAAAACTTTTCACTTATATTCTCAGTTTGTTATTTCTGATTTTCTGTTTCCACATTTGAAATCACATTTTTCACTTTTGTTGTGCATGCAATTGAAGTGTGAAATATGTTTTCACTGAATACTGTAGTGTTTTACTATCTTGAGAGCAATAAAAAATGAAATTGGATGGTTCAAAAAGGCTTTTTCAGTCATAATATATCTAGTTAAAATATAACGCCCCATCAACTCTATGTCAGCCATATACACCAAAACGTCGCTCAGATTAATATCAAAGATGTTGTATATCCATAGAACTCTCCTCGTGCCACTCAAAAAGTTAACGATTGTAGCCAAGAATGAAACCGTTTTATCAGATATAAATATCACAATTTGTTTCAATTATATCACTCTCTTTATAGATTTTAACTTTATTTTGTTGATTTAACTTTATTTTGTATTCATCAGAATACATGTAATTAATGTTCATATCTATCTGCATCTTACCAATTAAATTGTTAACGATTTTATTTCATTTGTGATTGCTAAAAGATGATATTAGCAGCCAAAATAAGTAAACAGTTTGATACATCGTTCTTGTTATGTGTTGTCTGTCTGGATTAGACCTCGGGGCACATATTGACTCGTGCTCATATCGATATGGTAGCAGTATTAGCGACACGAGGTAAAGGTTAAACTAGACGCAATAATGCTGTATTTTCACACGTTCCCCCATTGTCCACATTCACATATTATCAGTGTTCTGTTTTACACTGGTACGGTAGAAAAATGATCATATCACCAGAAATGTATTCAATGTTGATTAATTAATAATGCTTTTAACCCGCGGTGTCCTGGATTTATAATAATTATGTTTAGTTTGTTTGATAATTACTTTTCAAATAAATTAACCATAATATCAGTTTAACATCGATTTATGTTAGTCTCTTTGCATAAAGTTTTGTCAGTTGTTGATTCGTAACAAAGAATACAATAACATTAATATGGTTGAAAGGACAATCAATGGATGTTTACGTTTGAAAATTCAAGGAGCTAAAACTGCGTAGACAACATAATTATCCAAGGGACGGATACACAAAGAAAGGAAAAGCAAGTTAAAGGCGGACGCTGCAGCCACAAGGTCGAGTATAATGGTCTCACGCTTTGCATCAGGTGTTTCCAGAAAGAAAACATTACATTCCGACTATAGACGTCTAAGTGGTTGCATTTACCTTTCAAGGAGCTAAAACACAACATACAAGGTTATTATTAGTCTCAGTCCCTGAACCACATTGTTTTTCCAAGATATTTTTATGGATTAAACTTCTTTTTAATTTCTCTCACGACGTTTCGAGACCATTCCAGGTCCCTTTATCAGGTGAACTGGCAGTTAGACCTGGAATGGTCTCGAAACGTCGTGAGGGAAATTAAAAAGAAGTTTAATCCATAAAAATATCTTGGACATCAATGTACAACTTCTAAATGCCACTGAAAGACATCACATTGTTTTTCCTTCTAACAAGCCCTTTCTGCATTGCTAAAGCTCTATATATAGCAAGTCTAGATTTCCTCAGAATCAGGTATCTCACATCTCACCGGGGCTCCTTTTCAGTGTAAAACCAATTGTTTGTTTCTGTCAAAACTGTATATATTCAGAGACTAAGCGTTGGTCTAGGTTATTATCTAAGGGAAGGGTACAGACTATTCTAGGTTATTATCTAAGGGAAGGGTACAGACTATTCCGACCACATTGTCGTATGTTCTTGGTCTCACAGTTTGCATTTGGTCCCCACGTGTTCAGAAAAATGGCACTTTACATTTATGGGTTTCTTAAATTGCATCTACATAACTGTAGCTTTTTAGTCCTTACGAAACATTCAAAAGTAAATTATTCACTTCATGACTTGGAATCAAGCGTACGTGCCTTCAAGAAGTGCCATTGTACATAACAAAAGGTAGGCATTTGATAGATATATTATTTTGCATCTTTGGCTTATGAAGCGGATTCATGCAAATAAATGTATGATTGTGCTGGAAGAGGGAACCAAATTAGTGTGTAGATGTTTTGAAGAAATCTAAGCGATATTTTGAAACATCGTATTGATTTTATACGTCAATACAGTCCGAATGTCAGTCACTCTGCCGAGGATGCGAATAAATGGTTTATTTCTGCCTGTGACAACAGCAATGACTGTAAACAATATAGATCGAACCGAGATCTACTGACACAAGAAATGATTTCACCGATATGTTCAATTTTACAGGTCAAGAACGCAATGTATTTGAGTTAGTTAGCGATAATTCGCATTGAAAATTCTCACGGTTGAATCATGGTTAAAAATGTACCAAGCACGCTGTTGCCACGTGATTGTTTCACAATGTGATGTGCTTGATACATGGACGAGATGTTTTGTGTCTCATCAACATTACTCTCATGCAGAGTCAAACAAAACGTTTCCGATCAAAGTGAAGTCAGAACATCAATATCGCAGTTAAAGGAAACCATCTTGTACAAGTCTGGATTTGACAAGATGGCTTCAAGTACATGAGTTATATCATCACACAATGAAGCATACAGCATTATTGATGACAACTTGTTGTTTATTGCATAGAGCGACGTTGTACATTCTTACAACGTTATCAAGCTAAACGAATCTACACGGAAACGTCGATCTGTTGTATGTTTCATTATTGACTCACCAACTTCAAGACTGCAGATCAAACAATCGTCACAAAAATCATTACTGTTATTAGAATATATTTTTTAATATGTCCAGATTAGATGAATTCCGGTCAAGTGTCGCGGTAACATTTCTCCACTTCTCCAGCGACGACGTCATCGTGATTGTGTACCTGTGTCAAGGAAACGTGGTAAAAAGGCTCAGTCTTATTATTAGCGGACATCTGTAACTAAAGAGAGGCAATCTAATGGATCAAAGTCCAATACTGACAAGGATCGCAGATTAATACGCCACGGGTAACATATGTTATATTTGGGATTACACTTTCTTAGTAAAGTACATATTCTAATACTTTGGTTGGGTTGAGTCCCATCCGGGATTTGAACCCACACCCTCAGAGTCATTGCCAGCACACAATCAGCCGCCTAACCTGTTCAGGCACCGCGGCTTCCACAAAATGGAATATAGCTGAATGCGGCGTACAACAACCAGCCATCATCCCACACACTGAACAAATTTCAATTTTAGTGGGTTTGTGCATAGCCCCATGCCTCATCAAGTCGGCCTTCCTGCTGGTAGCGTAGCGACACAACTCACACTGGTGTTTCTTCTCACCATGAATTTGACGCATGTGCTTTGTATTGTTGTTTCGTGGAAGTCCTTGCCACATACCGGACACCTTTCTGTTTTAGCTTGATGAGAAACTTGATGTGTTGATTTTGAATCCTTTGTATGAAAAGTTTTGTCACAAAATTCACATTTAAAAGTTGTGTCCTCATATAAGGCATGGTGCCGCTTTAGTGCCAATGGCCTTGCTGAAGCTTTTCCACAAAGTTTGCAAGTCGCATACGGTTTCCTTGATGCTTGGCAAGGTGAGCTTTAAGAAGGACACGAGTATTGAATCCTTTACTACGCTGGTTGCATACGTAGGGAAACTGCTTGTATGTTTCCGGGTGTGCATTTTCATTTCCCATCTTTGTTGCTAGCACCTTGTTACAGTACTAGCACTCGAACCTCGAATGTTGAAGATCTGGTCGCCGTTCAGCCCATGTCTGTGATGTGGCTGAGGGCAACTCTGTCATTGCAGTTGGTGACTCTGGAATGGTAGTCAACTCGGTATCATCACATGAACCCGGACTTGCAGGATCTGAACTTGGTTCTGTCATTTCTTTCAGGAGCATTGCTGGAAAATCAAAAGCAGAAAATTAAGTATCTATTAGGACACTAAAATGAAAATTAATGGATGAAATTTATCTTTCTACGACATTTTAATTGACATAATGTAACACAATTTTTTGTCAGACTTCTTAAATATGACACATTTATATTTATAGACATTTCGAAGTAAAGTATCGAACCAGAGTTACACGTTGAAATTCCATTTATAGTGAAATCTTAATTCTAATTTTACAGTTATATTTTTTACAAATTTAAAATAAACTTCACAAAGATTTTTTATGATCAATTATAATATGCATTTCTTTATATATAATTAAAATAGATATTACATATCAACTTGGTAAAACGAAGCACAAATGCAAATTTCTTGTAACAATGGGTACTGCCCAGTGACACATTCGTGAACAACAGGTAAATATGTTCGGCCGGACAATGATCCAAAACCACGACATTACTAAGCCACTCCCTTAACCTAACTACGAAGACATGCAGGCTTTGGCTGTCCACTCTAACAGATTTACCTCTGTGGTCCTCCCGGGCGGTGGGGTAGCCTAGTGGTTAAAGCGTTCTCTCGTCACGCCGAAGACCCGGGTTCGATTCCCCACATGGGACAATGTGTGAAGCCAATTTTCTGGTGTCCTGGTGGTATTGCTAGAATATTGCTAAACGCGGCATAAAACTATACTCACGCTTTCACTCTGTGGTCCCTCATTCTGTATCCCTTTTGATGAGAGAATCAGAGTCAAGCATGTCTTGATTGACTGAATAGATTTTCCATCTCAGAGGGTCAATATTTCAAAGCTTTATCTATTAAGGACCTTTTCAATAATATTGCATTTTCAAAAGAGAACCTCGTTAGGATGAGAAAGCCTCAATAACTCGGTGCGCCTAGTGGCTGCAAGAGTGTATACTCCCCAGGGAGTTGAGATTGATAATACGATGTGCCGTTGAGATTGACATCCAATGATCGAATGAAAAAATACCAGCGCCTTGAGCATGCATTAGTTGCGTGGATACGTGCGCTATATAAATATCTTATAATAATAATTGACTAAATAATTTTGATTAATGCTTTGTGAATAGACACGTAAATTTCGGTCCACCAAACGTTTTACCGTAGAATGTTTATTGTTTTAAGTTATGGCCAAATGTCAGTTCAACTGCCTGTGGCTGAAGTGAT